AAGGATATCCCACCGGGTATGTGTGGGGGAGTGTGTGTGTGCGCGTGTGTATTATGTTCTGTGTGTGTGTATCCATGCGTATGTATATTTGTGTTTGTGTATGTTTGTATGTGTATTGACTCTGTGTGTGTAGTGTGTGTGTATGGGTGCACTGTGCATGTGTGTGCGTGTATGTGTGTTGAGTGTGTGTATGTGTATTGTGTGTTATGTGTGCATGTGTTTGTGTGTATTTGTGTTTGTGTGTATGTGCTTGTGTACGTGCATTTGTGTGCATATGCGTTTATGTGTGTTTGTGTGTTTGTGTATTGAGTGTATGTTGTGTGTTGTGTATGTGTACCGTGTATGCATGTCTGTGTTTGTCATGTGTACATGTTGGTGTGTTTGTGTGCACGGTGTCTGTGTGTATTGTGTATTTGTGTGTTGTGTGTTTATGTATGTGTATTTAGTGTGTTTGTGTTGTGTGTACATGTATGTGTATAGTATATGTGTTGTGTGTGTTTATGTATACATGTATGTGTGTTGTGTGTAAGCATGTGTGTTTGTGTGTATTATGTTTGTGTACGTGTGTTGTGTGCATATGTATGTGTACATGTATGTGTGTGTATGGGTGTATTGTGTGCTTGTGTGGTGTGTGTGTGTGTGTTGTGTATGTGTCTATGCATTTGTGTGCATGGTATGTGTGTCCAGGGCTGTGCAAGGTAGTGGTCAAGACCAAACTGACTCACTCTGACCCTGACTTTCTCCAAGGCCTTCCTTGCCCAGTGCCTCAAGGGGTCTCCCAGACCTTTCTCTCTCCTGCAATCCTTATCTTGATGTACAACAACAACTTGAGGGGGTGTCACTCGAGGGAAAAGCTCTAATTCTGAGAGTGTCCGTGTTCGTCTGTGAGCTGACGAGAGAGACCTTCCCGACTGTGCATGTGCTCGGGGACAGCTCTGGCTGGCAGGAGGCCCTGGTGCAGGGGCCTTCCGGATAGGTGGGTCTCTCCCTCCTCCGGAATCTGGGTGTAACTCTCTCCCCGGCTTCTGCCCTTGAAAGCTTAGGGACTCCAAGGTGTCTGCGATTCAAAACCACACAGGGTGACTTTTCTCCAGTTTCAAGTTCATTTGAAATCAGGCAAATCCTCCTCCCTGGGGGAGACTCTGGCAGAACTTTTCGTGTCATCCAGCCATTTCTGAGGACGAGAACCAGCCTTCGAAGCAGAAGTCCCTGGGTGAACACTATCGCGGAGCCCGTAAGTTATTTTAATGTAGACATCACTTTAAACTAACCTTTCACCATCTGTTCTGTCCTCTAATAACAAATGCGGAAGCGCGTGGGTCTCCGTGGCATCCTAAGGCGATTGGCGCCGTGGAGGCCCCTGTCTGTGCTCTCTCTTCACGGCCCATCGTGGGCTTCTGCGGTGTCTTTCTCATTTGCCAGACACAAATCAAGGGGAAAACTGCTCTCCCCTGATCTGGTGGATTCACTCGCACAGTATTTCTTCTTAATATGGTAAATTGTGGGAGAATTCAGAGCATTTGAGAGCCGATGCTCAGAGCCCCTAGACGCACACCACCCGCAGCCACTCGCTGCCCGCCGTATTTCAGAGGCCGCCAAATGGGCCTGGAGAATAAGCAAATGTGGCCTGATGGCCAAAACGTAATGAGCCTTCCTTGAAAAAAAAATTCTCTTTCAATAGGTGGTGGATTTTTTTCAGCAGTCTCCTCATTAAATTTCCCTGTGGAAGAGGGATTGGTTCGTCCAAGCTAGCAATAGTACACAGTGAATCTGTAATCCATCCTTCGGGCTGCTGCAGGCCCCAGCCCTCGCGCCTACAATCCATCCTTGCCTCCCCGTCCCTTGCCTCCAGAAGACTGGACGTGGCTCCATGTGTTCTCCTCAGCCCAGTGCCACTCAGCCACTCGAGGGCCTACTGTGTGCTCCGAGTGCCCTTCTCCTAACCCAAAGCCAAAGCAGCGTCCATACCCATCAGCCCTCGGAGAAGCGCCGGGCCCAGGACGGCAGGACTGGTGGGCTCCATACTCCACCTCAGTTGCCTGCTCTCCTGGGAATGTGTTCTCTTAACCTTTCTCCCACGCCAAGGGACAAGTCGTTGGAGGGGACAGGAAGGGGGGTTCCTCTCCTCTATCTAGACGTTGCCCCATATACCCTGGTGACCAAACTTGGTGAAAACTCTCCATGGGTGGAGAAGAGATGGGCCTTGCCCATGGAAGGCCTGCAGGAATACCGTTGCTGGTGGCCTTGGGCAGTAGAGAGGGGGGTGATTAAGGCTTCGTCGGAGGCTTTTCCCGTCAACCGCTGAGGGGCCCAGACCCGCCCTTCCCTCGGTCGCTGTCTCGGAAGCCCTGCTTGGTGTGTGCGGCTCAGGGCAGAGCCGGGAAAGGGCCCTACCTGATCATGGGAAAGTAAGGAGGTGCCTTGCGGGGGCAGAACAAAGATGCTCCTCACGAACTGCGGGTGTGTGCACATGTGCACAGGAGTGTGTGTGAGTGTGTGCGCACATGTGCACAGGAGTGTGTGTGAGTGTGTGTGCACATGTGCACGGGAGTGTGTGTGTGACACACCACAGGCCTGCAGGCCTCCCTCCTGGCGGTGTCTCCCAGCACGTGAGCAACCCCCCATTGGCACTGACCCCCATGGCGCCTTTATGATGGAATCAGCATCTCCCTCTTCCTATACGGAAAACAGCTTTTTTGCTATTACGACACGAGACAGTCTTGGCGTGGCTGGTGTGCCGGGCACCGCGCTTCTGCACATAGGAACAGCTCTGGTGTACAAATGCTAAATACTGGTTTAAGAAAGATGTTCTCCATCAGGCTGAATTCTCTACAAATTGGAGTTTTTCCAGGGGATGACTTGCTTTCTTTGATACGCATTAAGCTGGAAGGGATACTCTATCAAACGTGCTTTGAGCCTCTCCGAAGGCTCGCCTATGATTGTCATCGTGCTGCAGAGATGAGATGCGTGGTGAGAAGCCACCCCTCTGTCTCTGAGATAAGTGCTACTCAGGCATGATGAAGCAGGCTTGGAAGTCGCTGCTGCATCTGCTCTCTGGCATCTGCTGGGTGTGACACCGAGGCCACACGTGGGGCGGTAGCAGTGGTCACACTGTGTGTCATCAGAATTCAGAATGCATCTGCACTTCAAGGTCTGCAAGCTTCGTAAAACCGAGGGGGCTGCTTTTTCTCTCTCGTTCTCTGCTCTGGAAAAGTTTTCAGAAATTCCAGGGCAAGCTGACCTGTCTTGAGCTCTTTTAAGAGGAATTTCCTGAAGTCATACGGTATCTCCAGGTGTGTGTTCTCTGCTAGTCAAGTTTAAATTTGTATATTTTCTCAAAAAATAATCAATTTCATAACAATTTTCACCTGTGCTTGCATAACATATAGCAAAGAAAATGCTTTTTTAAAAAATCTTATCTTTTTTCTCTGACGTTTATCAAAGACGCAGCAGTTTCCTGAGGACTTTTCACCTAACTACAGCTCTGGAATCTATCGTTGTCCGGATTTTTCTGTTTTCAGATTCTTTCTGTGTCATATTTATTGATGACTTTGGTGTCTGCTGCTTCCTGCTTTCTTGTTCCTTTCCTTGTGAGGTTGAGCGCTTGGTTCATTGGCTGTAATTCCATTTTGATTATGAAAACATTCAAGGTTATGAGTCTGCGGGGACTCAATCTCTGGGTTTCACTGTATCACAGTCACATAGTTATATTATTATTAAACAAAAGAAATATTTTTAAAAGCCTCTAAAAATAACTTTGGTTCCTGTTGACCCAATGGTTATTTTGCAGTGTCATTCAGGTTTCTAAAAGGTCTTTTTTCAGTTTTATTATTAACTTTTAATTGCATCATTTCAGTTGAAGGTACTAGTCAGGCCGAATGCGGCAGCTCACACCTGTAATCCCAGCGCTTTGGGAGGCCCAGGTGGGAGGATCACTTAAAGCCAGAAGTTCGAGACCAGCCTGGGAAACATAGTGAGACCTTGTCTGTACAAAAGAATTTCGGAAGTTAGCCGGGCGTGGTTGCCGGCACCTGTAGTCCCAGCTGCTCCCGGCTGAGCTGGGAGGATGGCTTGGGCACAGGAGGTCAAGGCTGCAGTGAGCTTTGATTGCCCCACTGCACTCCAGCCTGGGTGACAGAGTGAGACCTGTCTCTAAAAAAAAAAAAAAGTCCTGTTCCATTTTGTTTTGGGGGTATTTTGGGGGGTTTTCACTGCGGCCCACTGTATTATGAAATGTGATGGTCCTGTGGACTTTGAGAAAAAAAGTAGTGTGGTCTAAAGACATGCTCAAAGTTGAATGCAAATCCATTCACTCCACCTTCTCGATTTCACCTTTCAAATCCCCGTGGCCTCTCGCATTTCCCTGAGGGACGCCCCAGGCTCTGGGAAGCGCCGCTCACCTGTGGTGGGCTGGTGACCACCAAGTCCCCCTCCTCATTACAGGAGGTTTCGCCTCAACTGAGTGAAAGACGTGCATCTTGTTTTTAATGCTACCAGGGTCCTTTCTGTTTCTCCAAAACTTGTGTGAATCTCACTCTCTGCTCAAAAACAAAATGAAGCCTTTGCCTAACCCTTCCCCATCCCAAGTAAAACTCAGAGTTTCATGTCTGCCTGTGTCGTTCCATTTCCTCCCCCAGTTAGCGGCCTTTTCTAGCTTCCTTTGGACTTGGGACCCAGATAACCATCATTAAATTGTTTTCTAAACAATTAGAAAGGCTGGGGCACACATGCATTGGGTCCTAGTCTTTTCTCTCACTGTGGAGGTTGCCCTTTTCTTGCCTTTGTCTCGTCCTGGGTTTGACATCAGAACATGAGGCCATTTTATACCATCATTTCCATTGTTTTCACCTGTGCTGCGGATGGCTGCCAGGCGTCCCGCGTTCTCGGTGTGTTTGCTGAGCTTGGAATATTAGACCTGCACTTCCCTGTTACTGACGGGCCCTGGACCTGCCGTTGGCAGCTCTCAGTAAAACCCTGACCGTCGATCATCCTTCCAGTTCCCAAAGTGGACGAAAGATCAGCTGTGGTCCCCATCATACCTCAAAATGGTCAAGCTCGAGGAACTCATGGGAGGGGATGAACGTCAGAGGTAGGGCCCCGGGCCTCACCCCACCACAGGCTGACCTCTTCTCGCTGTGCTCCTGCCTTTCAGATCCGATCCGACAAAGACAATGACATCCCTATCCGGTACAGCATCACGGGAGTGGGCGCCGACCAGCCCCCCATGGAGGTCTTCAGCATTGACTCCATGTCCGGCCGGATGTACGTCACGCGGCCCATGGACCGGGAGGAGCACGCCTCTTACCACGTGAGTGTCCACACCCAGGTGGGAACTGGGCCCTGGGGTGGCGATCTCAGCCCCACCAGACCTTGGCAGGTGCCCCCAGCTGGGCCATGCCTGTCCTAATTCTACAGGTAGCGCTCCAACTTTGACCTGGAGCAGAATCCTGGGAAGCTGGGGAAAGTCTAGGTTGCTGGGCACTGTCCCCTGTCTCTCCAGGGTGGGCCCAGGGCAGACCTGGGAAACTGCATTTCACACACTCCCCAGGATGCAAGTCAGGCCTGGGCCCACATTGGGAGAACCACTGGTCTAGAAGGCCTCCATCCAGCTGGTCTGCTTTGGACGGCTCTGCGGGGCAGGGAGTCAGGGAGCTGCAATGCTCCCTCGGGGCCCCTCATGCTGCCCTCGGCCCCTTTCTCTGAAGCACAGCCCATTGTCCCTCCCACCCTCTCCAGGCTGGGACATGCATCCTGCAGGCTTTTCATTTCCTCCGACGTCTCTCGTGGCAAGAGCCTCTGAAAGGAGAGCCGCACTGGTTCCCTGTCGCGGGCTGTGCACAGAAAGAGGTGGGGCTGCGGCCTCAGCTTCCGGGGGGCGGGCCTTCTCCTCCCGGGCCAAACTGACCCTGACTGAGAGGAGGGGGCCTGGGCCACGGTGAAAGCAGCGGCAGGTGCACATCCCTCCACCTCAGGGTCCAGGGCTGTCCATCGTGTGTAGGTGAAGGCTGCACCAGCAGCGCAGAACAGGCTGGAGCCAGATCGCGAGGGTCACACCCAGACCTGCCCCTGGCCAGGTGTGAGCTCTTGGGCAAATGATGTCGCCTCTCCTGGCCTCAGTCCCTGTTCCTCCTCATGGGCTTGTTCTGAGGACTCCAGGGTTAACCCGGGTGAGGCGTTCAGCACAAGCCCGTGCTGTCAGGGCCGTGTGCTCCTCCGTAGTAACTTGGGAACAACTATGGAAGACTCAGCCCTGCCTGACAGTGTCACCTTGCTCAGCTCTACCTTCGCTGGGCTTCAGCCAGTGGCACCGAACAGGGCCCAACCCTGCAGCTTCTCACGTCTGCGGCTATTTGTTTTGGGGTTCGTTCTTTCCATCTCGCACTAGAAGGAGGCTGCACAGGGGCAGGGAATCCTCTGGCTTGTCCATGGCAGATCTCAGGGCCAAGAACAGAGCCTGGCCTTCAGGGGGACTCACTAAGCATTCAGAGAAGGGAGGGTGTTGATGGGAGAAGGTCGGTTTCGCTGTTTGACCACAGGGGCCTCCCTGAGAGCCCCTGAGGCACCATCTGAAGCAGGGGCGGAGCTGGATGGATCCTGGGGAGCCCACTTGGGAGGTGGCTGCCCTAACCCCCGTCTGCACTGGGGCCTTATCAGTCCCTCACGGCTGCCTCCTGGGAAGGCTCACGCCTTGGCTGGGTGTTGGGGAGACCTGTTTGACAGCGCCTGGGCCTCGTGTGCTGGGCCCTCCAGGAGTGGCCAGGGCAGAACCACAGAACCAACCAGAAACTCCAGCTGATGCCCACAGATTGTGCAGCAAGAGACAGGCCCTCAGCATGGCCGCTGGCTCCCACAACGGGCTTTGAGCTGCCGTCAACACGCGTCTACAACAGGCTCAGGAATCAGAACTCAACAGCCCTTACTGCCAAGAAATAGCTACAGACTGAGGACTTAGGGAGAGACACAGATGCATGCACACAGAGATAGAAATATAGAGACAGAGAGGGAGACAGAGACACAGAGAGAGACATAGGAGACAGAGAAGAGAGACACAGGAAATACAGAGACAGAGACATAGAGACAGAAATAGAGAAACTGACCGTGAGAGGCAGATTCAGAGACAGAGACTTGACTCTAGCCTTGCCAGATCTAGATGTGGGGCAGCGGGAGCCAGTCCTTCAGCTCCGTGAATTCCTGACATGTGTTTCTGTCTGTTTTTTTTTTTTTTTTTTTTTTTTTTTTTTTTTTTTTTTTTTTTTTTTTTTTTTTTGAGGTGGAGTCTTGCTCTGTTGCCCAGGCTGGAGTGCAGTGGCACGATCTGGGCTCACTGCAAGCTCTGCCTCCCGGGTTCACACCGTTCTCCTGCCTCAGCCTCCCGAGTAGCTGGGACTACAGGCGCCCGCCACCACGCCCGGCTAGTTTTTCTTGTATTCTTTTGAGTAGAGACGGGGTTTCACCATGTTAGCCAGGATGGTCTCGATGTCCTGACCTCGTGATCCACCCGTCTCGGCCTCCCAAAGTGCTGGGATTACAGGCTTGAGCCACCGCGCCCGGCCTGTCTGTTGTTTTTTTAACCAAGGCAGACTCGGAGCTGGGTCAGCCCACTTCTCCCTGGTGTGGCATGACAGATGCAGCCTGTGGGTGCTGGCTGGGGCATCTGAGGGGCACCAGGAGTGCTGTAGGGCTGCCAGGTGCCTGTTGCAGGAGGACTCAGGGCCCAGCGCTTGCTGAATGCACAGTGATTCCTGGGTGACCTGCACCAGCAGGAGGCCTCCTCCTTCCATTTCATCTTATAATTCCTCCTGGAAATCTGGAGCTCAGAGCTGGCCCTCCCTGCAGCATCCCTGATGAGCTGTGTCTCCTCCGTGGATTCTCACCAGAGGCAGCCTTGGCATTCCCACCGACTCCCCAGAAAAGGTTTCAGGGCTCAGCTACCTCTGCACACAGCACGACTAGGGGACAGGGACCTCCAGGGCCACCGCTGGACAGTGCCCCCTCCATGCACCTTGAAGCCTGAGGCACAGCCTGCAACCCAATCTGGGAGCTCTGCCCACAGTAGGGGTCCAGGTGTGCAGGGCCAGAGGTTGGAATGGGCACTGCAGGGATCTGGGTCACCCACTCCTCTGTGATTCATTCCCAAGGCCCTCCTCTCATGCACAGGTAGAAATTTTCAACCCACCATGTGCAGAGACAATGGCTGGCACTGGGGAGGAATCCAGCGCCCCCACCATCTCCTGCCATGCCATGCAAACACACTGTGTAAACATGTGGTGCAAACACGCTGTGTAAACATGTGGTGCAAACACGCTGTGTAAACATGTGGTGCAAACACGTTGTGTAAACATGTGGTGCAAACATGTTGTGTTAGCCCTTTCGTATTGCTGTAAAGAAATACCTGAGGCTGTGTAATACAGAGAGAAAAGAGGTTTATTTGACTCACGGTTCTGCAGGCTGTACAGGAAGTGTGGCCCTGGCATCTGCTTCTGGGGAGGCCTCAGGAAGCTTCCACTCATGGGAGAAAGCGAAGGGGAGCAGACGTCCCACATGGCAGGAGTAAGAGAGAGAGAGGGACGGAGGTGCCAAGCTCTTTAAACAACGAGCCCTGGAGTGCACTCAGAGCAGGAACTCACACATTACCACAAGGGCAGCACCGAGCCATTGACAAGGGATCCACCCCCATGACCCAAACACCTCCCACCAGGCCCACCTCCAACACTGGAGGGCACATTTCAACATGAGATCTGGAGGGGACAGAACATCCATACCGCATCACACATCTCCATTCATCTGTTTATTCTTTCTGCCTGATGCATATGCATAGCCTTGCTCAGCACCAGGCTCTACCCAGGAAAGGCGTGGTGCCTCTGTAGATGGTCCTGCAGCAAACCCCCAGAAAGATGGGGGTCACAGGCTGGTGGGGACCAGGAACCTGGGTCCCACACATGCAGGGGAAGCTGAGGTGCCCCCGAAGACTCCTGTCCCTCACCACGGATGCCCTGAGGCCCCCTGCACTCCCCACCTGAGCTGGCCATGGAGGAAGATGAGGGAGCCCAGGCCGGGGGTGGGGGGAGCTGCTGGTGAAAAGTCAGACCCACCTGCCCCAGCCACCCTCATGGCTTGCCACTGTGGAGACACTTTTGCACACATGTTCCCTTCCCTTCTTTTGTTTTTCTTTTGTTTTTTTGAGACAGGGTCTCGCTCTGTCACTCAGGCTGGAATGCAGTGGCACAATCTCAGCTCACTGCAGCCACAACCTCCCAGGCTCAAGCAATCCTCCCACCTCAGCCTCCCAAGTAGCTGGGATTTTTTTATTTTTTTTGTTTTTTGAGACAGAGTCTCACTTCGTCAGCCAGGCTGGAGTGCAGTGGTACCATCTCAGCTCACTGCAACCTCCGCCTCACAGGTTCAAGCGATTCTCCTGCCTCCGCCTCCCAGGTAGCTGGAACTACAGGCACCTGCCACCACGCCCAGCTAATTTTTCTGTATTTTCAGTAGAGACGGGGTTTTGCCATGTTAGCCAGGCTGGTCTCCAACTATGCCTCCCAAAGTGCTGGGATTGCAGGCTTGAGCCACCGGCCCATGTTCCTGTCTGTTTCCTGCCTCAGCCCTGAGGCTTCATGGTTTTCTCCCCGCTTTGAAGATGAGAAATGCAGTCATCCCACATCGCCAGCATCTCTCAGTGCCTCCTGCACACCAGGTTCTAGGAGCAAGCTCGTGGAGATCATCAGTTTTTATCATCCTCATTTCCCATTTTCAAGGTGAGGAATGGTGAGCCCTGAGATCTGGCCAGGCTCCAGCCTCCTCACCCTTGTAGGGACGGCAGAGTCAGCAGGAGATGCAGGGCCCAGACTAGAGAAGAAACTGCATCATCTGCCAAATTCTGGAATGAAGCCCTCGAGTTCCACGTGTAGCTAATCTCTCTGTCTTACTGAGGTGGAGGCCTTGGGGATGCCCGGCTTTCCTGCCCTTCCCTGGAGAAGGAAGCCCCTCCCTGCAGGCATCACAGTCCTCATTAGACTCCATTGTGAATCCAACTCTGGATTTCCACCTTGTAGGATGCTCACCAGGGTCTTTGGGGACAGCTGTGCCAGCCAGCAGGGGTGTGTTAGTTCTCTGCACTGTGTAACACATTGGCACAAACTTGGTGGCTGAAACCACGCCCTATGAGTTCACCGTGCTATAGGTCAGAAGTCAAGATGGGCTTGGCTTGTGTTTCTGCTCAGGGTCTCACCAGGCCAAAATCAAAGCTCCAGCCAGCCTGGGCACTCCCCCAGCCCTGGGGAGGACCTGCCTCCAGGCTCACTGGGGCTGCAGCAGGTCCACATCCTTGTGGTTGCAGGACTGAGGTCTCCATGTCCTTGCTGGCTGTTCGGGGGGCCACAGCCACCCCCTGAAGGGCACCTGCATCCCCGGCACGTGTCCCCTCCACTGTCACCCAGCGAGGTGCATGCCCCTCTCTCCTGCCTGCAGCTGGGGAACGCTCAGCTTTCGAAGGCCCGTGTGGTTGGATGGCGCCTACCCAGCCCTGTCTTAAGGTCAAAAACGTAGCCCAGTGGGGAGGGAACACATCTATCTTCACATCTGGGCCCAGCGCCTGACATCCTTGGGGCCATCTTAGAGTTCTTCCTACCTCCCCAGCATCCTTGGATCCTGTTCCGTTTTCCACCCAGCTCTGTGGGCTGAGGGTGGGGAGGACGCATCCCCAGCCTGAGTATGCTGAAGACTGTGATACATGTCACCCTGAAGCCAGCCTGTAAACATTCAAACACACAACACGCACGAGTGCTCACTGCTGGCTTTGCAGGGCGATGCTCCAGAAGATTCCTTGAAGGATTCCATCAGTTGGACACACGAGCTCACCCAGCCACATGCTGTCATCTTCCGAAAGCTTCCTCACCTTCCTGAGCCTCAGTTTCCTCCTCTGTAAGACAGGGACCAAGACAATGCCAATCTCACAGATTCTGATGGAAACTGGAGTTAATGTGTATCAGGTTCTCATAGCACTGCCTGGCCCTGAGCAAACACACCGTGCGTGTTGGCTGCCGATGTCACCGATGAAGAAAGTCTCCAACTCCTGCACCCTCGGCCACTTCCAAGGGCCCCCATGGACTGTTCCCCGTTCCATACTCCTTGGAGGGAACCTGCACCCACAATTAAGATACGAAGAAGAGGCCAGGCGCGGTGGCTCATGCCTGTAATCCCAGCACTTTGGGAGGCTGAGGCGGGCGGATCACAAGGTCAGAAGATCGAGACCATCCTGGCTAACACGGTGAAACCCCATCTCTACTAAAAATACAAAAAAGTAGCCAGGCCTGGTGGCAGGCGCCTGCAGTTCCAGCTACTCAGGAGGCTGAGGCAGGAGAATGGCGAGAGCCCAGGAGGCGGAGCTTGCAGTGAGCCAAGATTGCACCTCTGCACTCCAGCCTGGGCGACAGAGCGAGACTCCGTCTCAAAAAAAAAGATACAAAGAAGAGAGAACAGCCAAGAGGCGGGAGAATTAGATCCCACATACATCTGGACATTCATCTGTCAACAGCCACATTTCCCCCAAACGGCTTCCCAGCCCGAGGCCAGACCATACCCACATATTAATATTTTCTAATCTTGTCTCCCAGAATGAGGATAGAAAAATGTCCTTTTCAAAATGTTGGAGGAAATGCACTGCGCCTGACACTTGGATTTGCAGGTTGCAGAATGCTCGGAGGACTCCTCCACCCATTTTTGCCTGTTTCCTCCACTGCCACGGCGAGATCACCTCTCTCAGGCCCGCCCTGGGTGTGCCCAGCCTGAGAGATGGGCAGGGGAGATTTCCAACAGGAGCTGTGGGACAAGGAGGACACAGGCCGCGGGCAGAGGCCGTATTTCCTTGTTATCTGCACTCGCGCTGCTCCTGCTGCTCCAGATAGCACCTGGAACTGCTTTAGTTGGGAGATAATAACTTTAATTTTAGCTCAGAATTACTTTTTTCCCGAGGCCTTGTGACCTTTGGGCGTGTGGGAAGCGTGTCCTATGGCAGGACGGAGCTGCAAATGGCTTGGGGATGGAGGAGTCTGCCCGCGACGGGGTGGGGGCAGCCGGATACGACAACCACACAGCACTTCAGGCTGTTTAAACAGGATACGTAAAGCTGACTCAGTGTTATGCGAGATGCGTGCGGTCACATCTCGCGTGGCAGTCTGCAGTTCCTCCAGGAGTCAGGCCTAGTTTGTCTCCTTACTACAGGACAGATTGCCTCTTTGGGTAAAGCCAGCTTCTAGATCTTCCTTAAACATGCCACGTAGCGGGTAAAATTCCACTCTGGATTGTTGGAACCCACCCAAAACACTGGTGCGGGCACGGACACAGTTAGCTCCCGGGTTTCCCTGGGGCAGGCGTGGAATGCAGGGTCCACCCCGTTCCCCCGAGGTCGTGGGAGTGGGAGTGGCCATGTGAGGCAGGCCACCAAGGCGATGATGTGGAGACCCGTCCGGCATGGGGCTCCTCTCCCAGCCACCCTGGGCTTGATGACGTTTTGCTGCAAATACCTTGAGTGAGGTCTGTTGTGTCCAACTTTAAGCATGATGTGGGGTTTTGGTAGAAAGATGTGAGCTGGGGACACCTCTGGGTGACCGTCCAGCTCTGGGTGGAGAGGCCTCAGACATACCCTTTCCATCCTCCGGCGACCCCTCAGCAGCCCCCTTGCCTGTGGCAGTGCCCAGCCTCTCTGTGTCTTCTGCCTTGGCCTGTTCTTGAGGTCTCAGCTCAAGCAGCCCCTCCTCTGAGAGGCCTCCCTGGCAGCCACTACACCCACTAATGGCTTCTGCTCTCCCTCGTGTCCATCATCCCTCGGATGGAAGCTCCAGGGCAGCCACACTGCCTTCAGTGCACAGTAATGTAGGGTCCAGCCCAGCACCTGGCATTGCAGGTCCTTGATGGGCATCTGCAGAACAAATGAATGAAAGAACAAATCCAGAACTTAAGGGGTGACTCTGAGAAGCTCCTACAGAACCTTCCACCCCAGGTTCAGCTCTTCCCTTTTCACCTTGAAGGCAGTTCCTGTGACATTCCCAGGAGCTCCACACTGGCCTCCCAGCCCCGCCTGTGCATGGATCCCCCCACCACCCATGTTCCCCTGCTGTGTCCAAGAGCGGACAGGGCATGCAGACGCAGAGGAGCCTGGAACTCGTCCAGGCTGGACTCTCAGTGGACACCCAAATGGACCCAATTCCTAGCTCCAGCTCTGACCTCTCTGCACACCCTGGCCTGTCTCCTCTCCATCTCTCCTGGGGACTAACCTCACAGTAGTGGGAGTTAAGCCCCCTACCCAGTTAGGCACAAATGCCTTTTCTGTTGCCACTTTGAGTGGACATGACCCCATCCAAGGGACACCTGTCCTGCTCCAGACATCTGATCAGAACAGTCGTTGGCTCACAGAACAGTCAGACAAGCGTGGGAGGTCCTGGGTGGGCCTGACCATGGGGTGTTGGGGGGTTATGCTGGCTTCCAGCTCTGCGCGTTGCTCCACTCTGCACTCTCCCGACCCCGTTTCTGCAGAGGAGAGAGCTGAGGCTCAGAGAATTGCACCACGTGCCCAAAGCCCCCCGGCCCCTATAGCTAACCTGCCTCTGCCATCAGCCTCCCACCCCAGCACCACAGGTCCGGGCCACTCTCAGCTGAGTGGGGGTGCCCACCTGCCACCGGGCCCTAATGTGTTTGTGCTGCTTTCCAGCTCCGAGCCCACGCTGTGGACATGAACGGCAACAAGGTGGAGAACCCCATCGACCTGTACATCTACGTCATCGACATGAATGACAACCGCCCCGAGTTCATCAACCAGGTCTACAACGGCTCTGTGGACGAGGGCTCCAAGCCAGGTGAGGCCTTTAGCGTTTGCTTGCTGGAGACCCTGTGGGCTCTGCAGGCACAGCACAGGCCCCGAGGGCTGGAGAGGGCTGCTCAGCCCCCACCACCAGGATGGTGCCACGGGACTTGGGTGCGGACACAGGCGTGCAGCAGGCATCCACCAAAGCCCCTGTTCTCACAGGCTTCAGGGTCAAGGGGGTGCAGAGCACAGGGGAGAAGCGATTGCAGCCACAGCAGGGCCGACAGGCTGGGAAGGAAACCCGGGCACTGGGAGTCCTGGGACAGTGGTGGGCCTGGGCAGGCCCCTCTGTGGAGCTGGCGTTTGGGCTAGGAGCTGAAGCCTGAGGTGGAGCAGCTCCTGGAGTGGGGCTGGGGTGGGCTCCTGGGCAGGCGGAGAGGCTAGGGGAACAAGGTGCACATGCCAGGGCCCTGGGGAGGCAATGAGGTCAGAGGACTGAGGCCACTGGAGGCCTCCCGGCTACACGTAAGATTTGGTTCCAGTCAAAACGGGAAGTGAGAGAGGCCCAGACTCCCCCCGCAGAGGCGATCCCATGTGACTAAGGCCATCTGTTCCCCTCAGAGCTGACCTAAGAGCCTGTCCCCCGAGACTTCACTCTGGCACAGGTGGCAGTGCCCACTTTTTCATGTGTGGGACCCTAGCTGAGTGCGTCATGTCTTGCATCTCTGCCCTCTGTGACTGCCAAGAAGTGGGAGACCCCCACCAGCAGTGAGGAGGCTCAGGCCCTCAGTAATCGAGGGTCCAGCCCAGCACCTGGCATTGCAGTCCCTCAATAGGCATCTGCAGAACAAATGAATGAGTGAAAGAACAAATCCAGAACTTAAGGGGTGACTCTGAGAAGCTCCTGCAGAACCTTCCAGCCTCAGGGCACACATGGGTTGGAACCTGGGTGTCCACATCCCCGCAGGGCTGGCACAGCCCCCACCTGCTCATCTAGATGCCACAGGTGGCCCAGGTCTGCGGGTTAACAAACCCCAGGGGCCTTCTGTGTGGGGGGAGCAGCTCCCCACTGTGGCTGCCTCCTGCGTGGGGGGTGGAGAGGGGTCCTCTTCGGGACAAACCTTTGCCTGGCTTGGGTTGGGAGTAGGGGAGGAGGTCACTGAGGAGACCCCTGCTGGGGTTGCCCTAAGTACAAGACAGCAAACCAAATGTATGAAGTTCAGAGATACAGCCAAAGCACTTTAAGAGTGGCCCAAGCACCTTGTAGGGCGGACTTACACCAAGAGAGCTAAATCCTTGCTGATATGAACTGCAAGTTCAATGGGTGTCCTGTATTTTCACCAGCAGCCACACCCCTGGCCAGTGCCCAGCAAGTAGCCGGCTTCCGGGCTCTGAAGTTGGCGGTGCTGGGCAAATGGGAGGCTGTTTCTGCATTGAAATCTAGAGCACATGGGAGCCCAGGCGGGGCCAGCTCCTAGGGCACCGCCCTGCAGGCCCCAGGGAGGGTCATGGCCAGCTCTGGGGCGGGAAGGCGGAGTCTTTATCACGCCTGCTTGCAGGGTGGCCTGCTTAGACCGCCCCGAGGCTGCAGTGGAACAGGGTGAATTGCACACTTGAGGTCACCCAGGCTGCAGTGTGAACAGGGTGGTGCAGCTTGGTAGTCCGCCCCAGGGCTGCAGTGTGAACAGGGTGAATTGCACGCTTGGTCCACCCCAGGGCTGCAGTGTGAACAGAGGTGAATTGCGCGCTTGGTGCGCCCCAGGGGCTGCAGTGAACAGGAGTGGATGCATGGTCCACCCAGGGCAATTGAACAGGAGTGAATTAACGCGCTTGGTGACCCCCAGGGCTGCAGTGTGAACAGGGTGAATTCTGCGGCTTGAGTCCGCCCAGGGCTGCAGTGTGAACAAGGTGGGTGCACACCTTGGTCGCCCAGGGCTGCAGTGTGAACAGGAGTGAATTGCGCACTTGGTCCACCCCCAGGGCTGCAGCGTGAACAGGGTGGATTACGCGCTTAGTCCGCCCCAGAGGCTGCATTGTGAACAGGAGTGAATTGCGCGCTTGGTCCGCCCCCAGGGCTGCAGTGTGAACAGGGTGGATTAGCGTAGTCACGCCCCAGGGCTGCGAGTGTGAACTGGGGTGAATTCAGCGAATTCGCCCCCAGGGCTGCAGTGTGAACAGGGTGAATTCAGCGGCAGTCGCGCCCCAGGGCTGCAGTGTGAACAGGAGTGAATTGCGCGCCAGTCCCGCCCCAGGGCTGCAGTGTGAACAGTGGGTGCGGCAGTCGCCCCAGAGGCTGCAGTGTGAACAGGGTGAATTCTGCGCAGTCGCCCCCAGGGCTGCAGTGTGAACAGGGTGAATTGTGCACTTGATTGGTTGTGTTTCAGGATTATGAGACACGGGTGTCAGTGTCACCACAAAGGAATGAGCGTGACATTATCTCACTGGAACCTGTGAGCAGCTGGTCCTCAGCCATCTTTCAGGATTATGAGACACGGGTGTGTCCGGTGTCACCAAAGGGAATGAGCGTGACATTATCTCACTGGAACCATGGGCAGCTGGTCCTCAGCCATCCCTTGAGGGGCAGGCAGCGGGTAAGCAGATTAGCTCCAGGCAGCCAAAGAAAATGGATGAGGACATGGGAGCCCCTTGCAAGGGTGTAGATGTGGAGGAGTGGGCAGCAGGCCAGGTACGCTCGTCACACAGACACCACTGGCCTCTCTCCTGGAGACCCAGGATGCTATTTAAAGGCGCCTGGATTTTCCTGGCCTTTCTATCACAAATCAAACCTCCCATGTCTTACTTTTTAAAAAATCAATAGCGAAAGTCTTCCCAAAAGCATAACTGGCTTTGCTCATTAAGATAACTGAGCAAATTGTGGAGCCATGCCTCAGAAGTCCATGTCTGCCCTTCTTCCCACCACTCCTGAGCTTTTCCAGGACTGTGTTGAGTGAAATGTCCACGGACTCTCAGAGCCCCTGGGGGATCGGGAGTCTGTTTCTGGTCCCAGAATAAGCTGTCTTTGTGCAAAGGCCAGGACGGAGCTGGAGGTGATGCTGTCGAGTCCACCTCGGTCACCCCGGGCAAGGGTGGGGAGAGATGGAGTCCACACAAAGCATGGCTTGCTTCTCTCAGTGGCGGTCTTTCCAGGACTTGGAAATCATCTCTACAATTTCTTCTCTTCCATCAGTAAATTACAATAATAGAAGGGTTCTACACAGTGCCTTTGTGGGATAAGGAAAAACTACCGCCAGAAATTAGTCATTATTCTCTGGAAGGACAGGCTAATGAAGGGTTTCAGATGCGCGTTCTAATGGAAAACAAATGGAAAGATGGGTTAAATATTGACTCAGCTCCAGAGGAACTTGGAAGGCTTGGGGAGTTCGTCTGGGGACATTAGCTCGCCAGTACAGGCCTGGGATCCATGAGGGTCCTGTGTGCCCCCCACACTCCTCTCCAGACCCTTGGGATCCACAAGAGTCCTGTGTGCATCTCACACTCTTCTCCAGCCCCCCAGAATCCACAAGGGTTCTGTGTGCACCCCATACTCTTCCCCAGGCCCCTGGAATCCACGAGGATCCTTCATGTACCCCACATTCTTCCCCAGCTCCCCCAGGATCCACAAGGGTCCTGTGTGCACCCCACACTCTTTCCCAGCCCCCCTGACTTCATGAAATCCCCTGGGGCACTGCCGACCTGCTCTGCTGGGCTCAAAGGGTGTGGCAGGTGCCACAGCAGGCCCTTTTGTGGTTGGGGTGCAGAGTGAGATGCCTTGTTAGTCAACAGGATGCAGAGCCCATCCCAGGGGCTCCCAGAGCAAGAGGACCGTGACTGGGAAGTGCAGGCAGGGCTGGCAGTGCCAGGTGTGGCAGCGCCCCTGGCTAAGATGTGTTTCCAGAGTCCCTGCCGGTTTTCAACCCCACCCTCCTTTCTCCTCTGAGAGATCCTCTCTGCTGCAGCCGCCGTGGCCTTGGAGGCCGAAAGCTTGTTCCTCAGCAGCTGGACAGCCCCGGGGTGAGGAGAGCGCGTCTTTACCAAGAGTCCCCGCGAAAGTCCCAGGCAGGTTCTCACGGGTCTCACTGCCCTGCCCCTGCGTCCGTACGCCTCCCCGGGGCAGAGGGTGGCAGCCTGTGGCACACAGCCAGGGGACACCCTCCATCTCCATGCGTTCCGGGCTGTCTGGGATTGTGGGCGGCACATGTGCGTTCGCCATCGAGTAAGACGGGGCTCCAGGAAGTGGGCGTTCCCACCGAGGCCTTCGCCCCGGGCTGCAAAGTGGCCCTAAGCCTGGTGAGTTCCCATGGCGGGAGAAGGCCCTGCTGAGTGATCCCTTCGGCCTGGTCTGCAGAAGTGACCCTAAGCCTGCTGAGTTCCGATGGCGGGAGAAGGCCCTGCTGAGTGATCCGCAGACCTGTACCACAGACGTTTTCCATGAAGAAATCAACGTTTGTTTATTTCAAGTTCCCCAGAAAATGGAACCAAAATCAGCATTCCCTCCAAAAAAAAACAAGGTCTACCTGAAATGACGGGAGGGCCGAGGATTTTTGCCCAGTTTCCAGCGGGACCTGAGGCCCACGGAGGTGACTGGGGGCCCCCATGGGCAGGAGGCTGGGGCCTGGGTTCCCAGCCCTCACTCTGTCCACCCAGCCTTCGCCACTTTCGTCTGCTGTGTTGGGCTTCCCAATGGGATTTCACTGGAAGAAATGTCTTCTCAAAAAATATTTTTATTTTGAGATAATTGTAGAGTCACATGCAGTTGTCGGAACAAGACAGACGGATCCTGTGAGCCTTTCAGCCAGCCTCCTGCAAGGGCAATATCTTGTAGAACCACAGTGCAGGGTCATAGCCAGGAAACTGACCTTCGTACCGGCCGCAGCCCCTACTCACATCCCACCAGACTGACCTGCATTAATTGGTGTGTCTGTCTGTATGTGTCTCTGTGTGCATCTGTTTGTGTGTCCATGTGTGTCTGTGTCTGTGTGTCTCTCTGTGTGTCTGTGTGTCTCTGTGTCTGTCTGTGTGTGTGTCTTTGTGTCTGTGTGTGTGTCCGTGTCT